AGATGAATGATCTTAGGAGAACTCGACATTACCTTGACCTAAAGTTTCGAGCTAGTTCTAATGGTATTCTGGTCCACCACTCAAACTAGACCCAGAAGGTGTTACATCTGAGTATACCCTGATCGTCTGTATGCTAGATGTAAATGAGACCTTTACGGAGGGTATAGAGCATAAGGTTTCATATTGGAACGTGGGACAACCATATCTAAGTACCATTGACATTTGTTGTACTTAGCTCAAATGCACTAGAATCAGACATCTTATGTGCTGATAATCTTTTGGCATAAAGCAGCACTGCGCTTACATGTCACCACTAAATTTGGTGTTAAAGACGTTTTTCCGTTACTACGAATTTGGGCTTATCTATCCATATGCATCTCAGAATAGATCACACCCTCTTGATCTTTGGAATGATGCCTACCTTGTGGGATTTGCTGAATCAGACCATCTATATGACCGCACAAGGTACGTTCCCGAATGGTTAAGTCTTTACCATTAAGGAACACCGCAATATCTTGGAGGTTAACCAGATAGACCTTTTATTGCAAAACCTTTGAATCGTTCCAAGACTCACTGTATCTTATCACGTGAAAGATATGGTCGAGAATTCTTGTTGAACATATTTAAAATCCTTGCGATTTTCATCCATTGTTAAGTCCCAACAATGATCCATCCAACAAGTCAACACCAAGCATATTGTGTCTACATCAGCATGAGCATCAGAAGATTGAAGTCAAACAGTCTGGTATCTTACATCCTTGCCAACCTCTACACGACGTCACTGCTGAAGTCTACCCTTCCAGAAACTTGTCCAAGGAATTGGTATGCGTAACTTTCTCACTTGCGATGCTTATAGTTTCATTTGGAAGTTTTGTCAAACTCAGGAAAAGTATTCATAAGTATACTCACTTGACTTTAATGTACTTTTTTCCCCTATGATTAGGAGCATTTTTCCCAATGGGTTTTTGCTACCTAACTAGGTTTTAACGAGGCACCTATCCTGGGCTGGTCATACTCTTGTGAGCTCTTCTACTTGCTTCCAGAAGACATATAGTTTTGATTTAATGCAACTTCTCACTTTTCTCCTTAGCCTATGGGTTTTTCTCCCACCTTGGGTTTTACCATAGCGAGGTTTTGTGAGTTTTACCACCCATACATTCTTCTGTTTGTTTTGAGACTCGCATTTGCTACTTGTGCTGACTAGACGAGACGACTTCATCCACTGCTTCTACATTTGCCTGAAGGTCTGATGCGCCATCTACTTAAGTATTTGCACACTCAAGGGGGAGTGTTGTGACATATGTTCTTATCAATATATGATTGTGTAAATCATAAGTACATATAAAGTAGGAATCCTTTGGTATCTAGAAGATCTTTCCTAATATACTTTGTATTACTTGGAGAGCAAGTTTCTCTCCTCCTTATTACTGTAAATAAAGGCACAAGGACTGGGGAATTAACACACAATTCCTCAAGTATATTCTCCAATCTCTCTTTCTTCTCTTTGCCGCACCTCTATACTAAATATAGGCCACAACAAAAACCACCTCATCGGGTTGAGGAGATTTCAAGAGCCTACACTACCTTGTCTCAAACCTTTGTGATTTTGTCTTGGATGACACATCGTTAAGATAATGTGCGCAACTTTATATGTGACTCGAGAAAATTAAAGCATTGGTTTTTAAATTTTAGTCGAATTGGAGCTTTAGATTTGAAACTAAAAATTTGTGGGTATTGGGTATATAATTTATCACAGTGTGAATCAATGGTAATTTTGGATAATTTTGTTATAACTTTCATCCCTTATTTGCCCATTTGAACCCATTATTTTGAATGAAAATTTTAACAGTGTTACTTAAAAGTACCGTTACTCATACTAAGACAAGTTCAAAACCAATTTTTAATTCATGGATCATAACTCTAATTAAACCAAAATCCAAGAACCATGCTCTAATTTTTTGTACAAACTCCAATAAATTCAACTGTAAAATTGGCATCGATCGCACCTAACACCAAACTCAAGCACATGCCCGTATGAACATGAATGATGAATGGTAGCTAACATCCTTAAAATAGTTGTTGCCTAACATCCGAACTACCCACAAATTAAGCTTTGTCAATTCTTATGAATTTGCATGTAATATAATATCGTAGTAGATATTGAGTTTTCATCTATACATCTTGAGTTCAAAATTTATCCCTCTTAAATTATTATAATAATTTCTAAGCCTCTCATTCCCTTAATATAATAATAAAAATCTTATGACTTCGTCCTCCTATCCTAAGCCCTACTTCTTAGTCAAGTAAAACGACATGGAGTTAAATTTTAAAATTTTATATTAGGGAGTTCGAAACGCAACGAATTAAGAAAAAATCTTATTAACTTTGCTACCACATATATAATTGGAAACCAAATACGGCGTTTATTGGTAAACGCATAAGTAATATAATATAAAATTCTAAGAAAAAATGGTTTGAAAACTTTGAGTTTTAACGATAAGGATAAAATAAATAGTATCAGAATTAACTTTTTAGCGTAAAAATATGATTTTTCATTAAAGTAAACATTACCGTGAGCTTTTCGTTAAAGTTCCCAATATTCTAATGTTTATATGTGCGTCACTAATCACTATTAACATGTTACCAAGTATCAACAATGTACAACGGTTGATGGCTATGGTTGTATATATTATTATTTTCTGGTAACAAAGACAAAAAGTATCAAATCCCCAAATTTGTTGTGGTTATCTTATATTCACCTGCTGCAAAATATATTTTAATTAATAGGGTTCTTTGTTATTTGCACGTAAAAGCATGAAAGTATTAATTTGTTTGGCACTAACCACTGATTAGGACTTTAACCCTTGAATAATGTACGAATTATTAAACAAATTTTTTTAGCGTGAGCTACTAGTTCATAATCTTTCAAATGTGCATAAGGACTTTCATAAAATAATATACTTACTTTTTGACTACCGACCATGAGCCCAAGGTTCCCAAGCATGAGCGGATGTTTGGTGGATTTATTCAATGGCAAGTAGTGGCAGAGCCCTTGACCAAAAAAAAAAAAAGTAGTGGCAGAGCCAAAATAGAGTTATTGGTTGTCCGTTAATAATTTTAACAATCCACACATATTTGTATGTGTATTGTGTTTGAATTAATTTATAAACAGGTAAGACAAACTAAATTACAAACTTCTCTTCAACTTCTATTTTTTTCTACCATCCATGTCTTCCTGTTCTCTCTTCTTGCGAGTGACTTTATTGTACTCACCAAATGTTTGATGAAATGCATCAGTTGACAAGTTTTATCAGTCTTCAACAGTACTCTACAATTTATTGTAACCACCCTTGACAAGTCTTTAAGTATCATAATAGTTGTTGACAGATGTTGGCATAAGCCTTATGCAGATGTTGGCAAAAATGGACATGTTCAATATTAAGTGCTCGACAAAATGGTTCAATAAAGTTTTTTGTCGAAATCATGACCTCGTTATTTAAAAATCATGGCTCTGCCATTGGTGCCAAGGGTGGATGGACTTAAAAAATCTCACTATTAAATTGGATTTTGCTCGTTCAATAGTTGGGCAACACAGGATTGTGCAGGGATGGAGAATTGCATATCTCCTTTAACCATTCATCATTTTCGGCTTTTCTCCCCTATTTCAAACTCATTTCACCCAATAAAAAACTTAAGCAGTTTGACAAAAAATAAAAAATAAAAAACTTAAGCAGAAACATCTCACCAAACTTTTATACCCTGTTTGACAAAAAATAAAAAATAAAAAACTTAAGTAGAAACATCGCACCAAACTTTTATACCCTGCTCACTTAGAAAAATATTCATAAATCCGCCATTGTTGTCAAGTGAATCCTTTGTAATATAAACTATATGGTTATGCGACCAAAATATATATATATATATATATATGTGTGTGTGTGAAAAACTTGTACATCTTGTCTAAGTTGGTAGGCTTTTAATAAATTATGCAGATAAATTTAAAACCACCCAACAAGCAGGATGTGAGTAATAATATATTTCTCATACTTGCTCTTCATATTTTAGCCCACCAAACTAGAATGTGTGACGTTTGCCACATTCTCTTGCATATTTACTTAACTATTTTGTTTTTGCTTTTTTGTTTTTATATTTTGTGTTCGTGATAGTGAAAAACGCATAGGAGAAAATTAGAGATACAAGAGAATATGTATGAATGACGGTGAGACAAAAAGACAAAAAAAAATAATAATTACAAATTGAAAAATTAGATTATTCTCACTTCTAAATTTTTGTTTTCGCTCATACTTCGTCACCTTTCTCACATCACCCTCCTTCATCCATTCTTATCTCGAAGAACAAGATTAAAATAAAAAGGCTTATTTTTAGCTACACCTCCTGAAAACTCCATTTTGCCCTTTATAACTCAAAAGTCACTACTTTACTCTCTGAAACTTAAAATTTGTTTCACTTTAACTTGTAGACTTTTTCTTCTTCTTGAAACTTAAAAGGTTGCTTTCTAAAACAAATGTAGGACCCAACACCCAATAAGACTATGTCACATGTGCAATAAATTTGATTATAAATCTCCATTATGCGTTAACATTAAAAAATCATAAAATATTAAGTTTAAAAGAAATTAAAGAGATGAAAAAAAAATAAAACAAAAGTTGATTAGCCTGACGCACCCAAATCAAGTTCACATAAGAAATTAATAGATCTAAGACAATGTGAAGCGAAATTTAAATTTCAAGTAGTAAAATGATGACTTTCGAGTTATATAGAACAAAATAAAACTAAAATCGAGTATTAAGAGACCTAGCTAATCATAAGCTAAATAAAAAACTAAAAACAAAAAGAGGCCTGAAAAAACGAGACTCACGAAATGGACGAGGAGGTGAACACCACTTCTGGGCTGGGGATTGAGTTGGGCCTGTCAGAAACCCATATATTCCTGACAAACACCTGATTAGGAGAGAGAGAGAGAGATACTGTTTTCCTTTTCACTTTGACAAGACAAAAAAATAAAAAATCAGAATCAGAAAAGCCACTTTCCAATTTCTAGGGTTTTACAGAGAGAAACGGGAGAGTGGGAAAGCAATCAAATTCCGCAAAGCTAGGGTTTCACAGAGAGAGAGAGAGAGAGTAAATGGACGGTCTTCGTCCCAGAAACAGAGAGATTTTCATCGGCTTTACGAAGGCCGAGGTAATGGAGGCAGATTCTCCTCCTTTTCCCTAATTTCTCTTAATTTGATTTATTTTTGGTTAAATTCAATTGGGTATTGCTTGGTTATTGTGATTTTATTGATAATATAAGTGTGGATTTTGATGTTAGCCAAAGCTTCTGAGGTGTTCTTTTGAAAATATAGCACGCTTAATGTGATTAGCACTGCATTAGTGTTCGTTTAGCATTTTGAATTCGTAATTTGGGGATTATCTGATGAACTTACTTTGGTTTTTCGGTTTTTGTGATTGCGCGTAGACTGAAAAAATGGAGAGATTGACGAGGGAATTAGGAGAACAGGTGCTGGAACGAGAGTTCTGTCAAAGTACTGCAAAAAGTTTTAAGTGAGTTTAATTTCAAGCTTACACTTTCATATCATACTGATTACTACTTTTCGAGTAATAGTTGGTCTAACTCCTACTTTGGTTTGTTATTTGTATTCAGTCGCTCCGCCGGTCGTGCTGGGAAACCTATCGTAAAATGGACTGAGGTTAAACATATTTATCTCTTTTTTTGCTCTTCATTTGATTCCATCTGTAGTTGCTGTTGTTTTTTACCATAAGGTGGCCTTGATTAATCATTTCTAAAACGCTCATTGTTGCAATTCTCTTAGGTACAAAGTTGGTTCGAGAATAGGGTGAAAGAGTCATCAAACATATCCAGAAATCTCTCCGAGGAACAGGGACATTGCCCTTCAAATAAGGCATGCAAAAGTTCTCAAAAACCTAAAGGTGCTTCTCACAAGTGCTTGATGCTTTTATGTCTAGGCTGTAGTACTATGCAAGCTTGTAAGGCTTTTGAAAACTGGTTATATCTGATTGTTGTACGGTGAACTCATTTCATTATATGCAAAATTAGAAAAATAGTGAATGACCAGCCAACCAAGATTATTGAACTTTTTGAACTGTGCCGCTGGTTATATACCGTAGTTGTTTAGAATTTTTTCTTTCTGTTATCAACCAGCGACTAAATGTCATATATAAGAAGTTATTTGAACTGTTTGTCTGTCACATAATATCATTTGTAAATAATTGACAAATGTCCATTTGAAAGCAGAAGAAGAGATCCCAGACGTATCAGAGTTGGAATTTGAGGCAAGGTCGTCAAAAGATGGGGCATGGTTAGTACAAACAAGGATGACTTTGTCATTGAATTTCTTGGTCCCTTTACGTTTTTTCTTGTTGGATGCTTCAGTTTGTTGTTATTGCTTCTATAACTTTTATCTTATTGGCATCTTTTATTGCAAAACCTTGTGCCTAATTTGGCGTGCTTAGAAAACTTGCCATTTCTTACAAATCATGGGAAGATTGATATGAGGCATTTGATTAAGGCTGTAAGGAATAAATGATCATGCGCACCTAACTAACCTGCAATGGTACAGGTTTAATGCCTTGAAGTCCCTTCAGCAACTGCATTATTAAGGCAACATATAGTACAAAGTTTGAAAATATAATGAAGACTTCAGTATAGTTTCAATGCCCCTGACCCCTTTTGACTTCAGTATAGCTTCACCTCAAAAGTCCTTTTTCTAGTGTAAAATAGCTATCCAAACGTAATTCTTTCTCTAAGTGTCATCTCTCGTTGGTAATACTATATCTGTACGCTTTAATTGAATGTGAACCTCAACATGTTTTGATCATGAGATGCTTTCTATCCTTTTCCTCCAACCCCCTCAGCCCTTGTCCTCTCTCTGAATCTCTTATATTACTTTGCCGCAGGTATGATGTTGAAAAGTTCCTTGCTCACAGATTCCCTAGTACGGGGGAAACTGTAAGTATTTAAGTCATAACTTATTGCTCTATTCATGTACTGATTGCTTCTGATTTACATGTTTGTCTGAATTTTGAGTACTTATAAATCTAACTGGAGAGTTGGAGACCTCTTGGATTTAACAGTGTACAACATACATAAATTCATTAAGTGACTTTTGTCATTTATTAAAGGAAGTTCGTGTCAAATTTGTTGGATTTGGAGCCGAAGAGGATGAGTGGGTTAATGTAAAAAAAGCTGTGAGGGAGCGCTCAGTACCACTGGAGCATTCAGAATGTCATACATTGAAGGTTGGAGATCATGTCCTCTGCTTCCTGGTAAATTTCAAAAATCTATTCTGGTAATAACCTTACCGTCATATCTTTCAAGTTGGTAGGCTTTTACATTTTGGTGGTTGGTTATTATTAGGAGAGGAGAGATCAAGCAATCTACTACGATGCCCATATTACAGATATTCAAAGGAAAATGCACGATGTAAGGGGCTGCAGGTGTCTTTTCTCAATCCGCTATAATCATGACAACAGCGAGGCAAGTATTGCTAATCTTTTTCCTTTTTCAATTCAGTCTTAAGACGTATAACCGTGATCTGATGATGCTTAATATCATCCAGGAACGAGTTCATTTGAGGAGATTGTGTCGGCGGCCAAAACATTAGATGTTTCGTGCGTTGTCCAAGTTTTTCCCTTAACGCCAGCTCAATTTTGTCAAGCTTTTTTGTACTCGAGCTGTGGGAGGGCATGAACGGGCATGGGCACTTTGCAAGAGAGACAATGCATACTGGGTAGTCGATATATGGCAGTCTGTTGCTTGTGGATTTGATGGATCACCAGAACCCATTAATGTGCAGGGGAGTTGATGTCTGCGAGTCTCCGAGGTTGTGGCTTTGATGGATCACTGTAACCCTTTGGTAATCTAGGGTTCTACCATGTGTACGAATACGGGTATAGAGAACGGGGTCAATCCGTGACGTACATTTTTGGGTGCTGTGTGAGAAAATGGGTGTGGTAACACATTGTGGTGTAAATCCCAAGTTCTGTTTCTGTTTCTATGCAATTAGAAAACCATCCGACTTGTGCTCTTTGAGAGTGTTGTCTGCTGAGATTCATAACATCTTCTGGCATTTGGAAGTCGTCTGATCATTTATTTTAAGTTTCATAAGCGACTGACTTTCAAGACATACCGAGTTTTTCTACTGGAAAAAACGAAAATAATCCTGATGCGGGTTCAATCTCCCACCGCCCCTCCCTTAACAACTGTTTGTCTAACTTACTAACGCTATTGCTCTGCTCAAAACACTGAAAAGACCATTGGCGGCGCCTAGAACGGATTTCTAGCAACAAGACCATCACTGGAATGTCCTGCGCGGAGGATTGTTTAAAGGTCGGTTATGTTGAAAATGCGACTACTAACTTTTCAAGAGATGATTTAGTTCAAACGACGACAGCAACCGCTGAAATCCTTCACTTTCGACATTGGTTAAATCTGATTAAATTCGACAATAGTTTTTAAACAAAACAGATCCCCTGCAACCAACATGCCTCGAGTTCATCATGGATTCGTCTTCTGAAATTTCCAAATCATGACCTGGCGGAAATTGGCACAATCAGTCCCACCAGTTCAATCCGGAAAAATCAGCACAGCAATGCCGTGCTCTGGGCTAAGATCGCTTTACATCTGCAGCTGAAAAAGAAACCAATCTTCACCGTTCATTTCTTGTATGAGTGAACCACAATTTTCTTATATACTCGCATGCACATTGGAAACAATAACACATGAATTATCAACAAGATGCTTTGTCTTTTTGGTCGAAAAAATGACCAATGCTTTTCGGCATAAGCAAAAGCATGGTCATGGGTGCAGCATTCATTTTTCTGGCTCTTAATCTGTTTGCTTACGTTTAACTACTTTCCTTCTAGCACCTACCATTATTAAGTTTCCTACGACGTACCATTTAACCAACTTACAGGCTCATTTAGGCAAGTAAACTAGAAATGCATCAAAAAGATGTTCACACATGATAAAAAGCAGCATGCCATTGAAGTTTAACAACAGTTACCAGGGCAGGTCGGGGGTTGAGTGTTGGGATGTTATTTAAAGAAAAATGGCTTACCTTGTGTTTGAAAACTCGCACTTCCTCCAATAGCAGCATCATGGATGGATATGCATGAACCACAAAGTCTCGCATGCAGCTCACCTTATATCTATTAGAAACACAAAGACAACTGTTTACATCGTATAAAACAATTACAAAAGTAAAATAAAGGAGACAAGTGAGGAGAATCCTTACTAACTTGAGTACACACAAACAACCAAGTGCTTCTAACAAATTATGAATGCCAATTGATAGCGAGACATTATAGCTACAAAATCAGACACGGGAAATCATAATATAAACCGCAAGAGAGAAATTTGCACAAAATCTGACATACAACTTACCAATGGGAAAGATGGGTTCTTTATCGGCATCATAGGTCTTACTTCATACATTGGTGCAATATAACCTTCCCTACTGCAGTTCTGCTTCAAAGACCTTGACCAAAATTATCAACTATTTAACCTGTAATACCCATTTATTCACTGGAAATGCAGCATAGTCATGTTGCACAACTTCTATGTGTAATGTACTGATAAGAAGAGGTCAGGATACACAATCAGTGGTTATAAATCAAAGGATACAAGCACTTGGAAAGTGATTAAGATTAACCAAAAACTAAGATGACTAAGAAACCATTACACACTGATGCTTTGAAGTATACAACTGCTTTCTGTTTAACGGTCAAATTGGGACATCTCATCTTGAAGTCCACAAAGAAGCTCACCCCCTCAAAAGAAAAGGGGAAACAAAATAAAAAAAACCAAGTACATACTGAAGGGCTGAGAATATCAAAAACCACAGCTAGTCATAGCTGCACGTTCCCAAATTCTATCAATAATCAAAACAAGGCTTGTGCACATGCCTTCACCCAAGGAATTATTGCTTGGCAATACACAAACTTTTTCACAATGGGAGGGAATAAACAACTTCCCAGTGAGATATATAATAAGCTCAAAAGATTGAAAGACAGTGCACAAGTACTTGTAACAGATGCTATGTTATGGTGGCAATAAAAAGAGTTTAGCGTACATCAACTCCCAAATGCCAAGACCAATCAATTTCCCGTGAGAGGATCTTTTGCTTCTGAACAGGCACTAAATGGTAAACGCAGGCTTGTTGTTCATAAAGGTGAATTATCAGAATTCCATCAGTGGCATCTCAACATAAGCTTGGCTGTTCATGAGACAGTTCTACCGTAGCAAATAGATGCAATATAAAGGTTCTTTCCCCATTTCTCCTGCAAATTTGCCACATAGAAACTTGAGCTTCCAGAAATAAGAATGAAAAGGAAAAGGCAAGTACAAAAAAAATGATTAATCAAATATTCCACCTTAACGTGTGTACTAGGAAAAGCAGAAGTCCGAAGCGTCTCTTGAGTTTCATCTGCCAGTTTTCTCCTTGGAACACTAAGGACAAAAGCTGCCTGATCCCAAGTTGCTGCAGTTGACGTGATGCGGTAGCCATTATCCCACCTTCGATGAATGCCTTCGCTTGGATACAGAAAATCTAGTTCCACAACCTGAAATAGTTCACGTCAAGGGAGGCAAAACACAATTATGAGATGGTTTTTCTCCAACACCAAAAGGGTACATCAATAGAGCTGATATCTGGAAATCCCAATAAAACCTGGTCAGAAAATCCGGCACCACGGGACATAACAATAGCCCATCTACTCCCAGCAGTTGCCATTGCAGTAACATGAAATCCTTCCCGCCATTTCTTATTAATCCACTTGAAAGGAAATGAATCGCTGACTTTATAGGACTGCTGTAAGTATTGGGTCCCTATATGACGCAAAAGAGGACTAGTTAAGACAATTAGATTGGCAATGTAACTGTACAGAATCAATGATGCACAATTAGATTGGCAAGGTAGATATACAGAATCACAGATGCTTAGACTAACCTTTAGACATTACAACTAAAGAGCTTCCATTGTTTGCTCCTGCTATCGTGCTGATATAGTAATTCTTGTCCCACTGCTCCATAATCCATTCCTTCAAAACAGAGATAAATAGTATGATTGATGTGTTCATTTAAACAAGAAATAGTCATAACCCTCCCCCATGTACCGTAATCTAAAAGAGAAAAAAATCCACACAAATAAACAACGATGCTTGTGCAAACTAAGTTTCAACGTCAATAGACAGCTCTTCTTGATATAATGGATCACAAACCTTATGCAGAAAATATGAAGAGAGTTCATAAACTTGGGCACTGAAGCCAGTGCCAGCATCCATGATAAGAGCCCAAAGATTTGAACTGGAAGCTACACTGCTAATAAATAACCCATCTTCATTTCCTTTCTCAATGTGTTGGGAGAGCCTCACATCTGCAACATTATAGTGATATCTACAACAAATGAAAACATAAACTTAGTTCACTTATAGGTCAAACTTGAATTAAATTTATACATTTAGTGTATAAACCTAAGGATATACCTTTGCTTCATAGGCATACGAGCATTGTATACACTAATCCATTGGGTTGCAGGCATCCCCATACGAATCTTCTTCTTTGGTTGCTCATCATCCTCTTCCTCCAAGGTCAATCTTGCTCTCTTTTGTCCAACTTGGCATATAAGCTTTCCAATGCAAGAGATATAAGTTAGATGAACTCCAAAAGAAGACCTATAACTAACATCCATAAAATATACTCTACACAGATGCAAGACATTCAAAGTACCTTCTGAGCACCATCAGTATTTATTGGCCTGACATCTGGGTTTGGGCCAACAATTCCATCAAAAAGGGATATGTACTTTGCATAGTTTGGTTCTTCATCAAACTTCAAATTCACCACATACTCAACAAATTGTCGGAATGGCTGAGGGCAGAAGCAACACAAAGTTTCTGGGGAAGTGGCCATCTTTTTCTTGCAGACAAGAAAACCTTTATTTTCTCCCTAAAAAAATATTGTGTTTTTGTGTTAAGTTGGTATACATAATTAGATACAAGCCTACACAAATTTTTGAAATTATGAACCTGATATCCTTGCCATGGCAACCGACCACGAAGAAGAAATATCAGTGTGTAAGCTAGAGATTCCAAGTCATCCCTCCTGCTACCAGTTCTACCAAGATGAGCATGCACACTTGCATATCGCACCGTTCCCCTGCAGCACATTAACGATCGGTATATCAATGAGTAAAATCATTTTGTTTTTTTTTGGATTACTTGCAAAGATCGTCATAGTTATGGTCAAATAATTAACCAATGTTTATTTCACCTGAAAACATCTGGACGTTGATCATAGTCGACATGCAGGCCAGTCGAATCTCGCCACCTGGTGGCTGTCATGTATAAACAGGTAGTGAGACGACAAGGCATTTGGTAAATTACCCTGACAAGTAATTTCAGCTGTAAGTAAGGAGATTCTATAACAATGACTTACCTAATCCAAGGTCAACAAGAAACAGCTTCTTATCCTCGACAGTTCCAGGGGGGCCAAGCAAAAAGTTCTCAGGTTTCACATCCCCATGTACATATCTGCCATCAACATCATCAGAGAGGTTATAAAACCAGGTAAATTGCCTTTAATAATTATACTGAAAGAAATTCTGAAACAAAATTATCACCCTCTAGAGTGCATCTTCTCCAATATGGATATTGCCTCAATGGCAATACATGCAACCATTTCAATTGACATCCTGAAATTTAAAAGGTAGGAATGTCAGATAGGCAGACAATGTTAAGTGTTGCAAGCAAATACTAAGGTGAAAAATGAAAATCTATTTCTTTATAAAGACAGGGTTAACTTTTTTCATTATAAAGACAGGAAAAACTTACGTGTGTGAGCTGTTATTCCAGACATCCCACAAACTAGGTCCGAGCATATCCATCACCTGTATACAGAGGAGGGTTGATTTATAATTCTGAAACTATGGTAATTAGAAACTACAGAGGTCGCACTTGGTGCGATGGCAAGTGCCTTCGTCCATGAGCGGTAGGTCTCGGGTTCGAGACTTGGGAGCAGCCTCTCCATAAAATGGGGGTAAGGCTAGCCGACATTCACCTCTCCCAGACCCTGCGTAAAGCGGGAGCCTTGTGCACTGGGTACGACCTTTTATGGTAATTAGAAACTACATTTACAATGAAATTTGAGCAAACAACTCATACCATGATATAGTAGTCAGCTTGCCGACCCTTATAGTGAACTCTTGGCACCCCATGACTACCGCCAAGTGCACTGTGTAGACAGAAGATAAAGTGAGAGTCAAAATACAAGACGGTGGGTGAGAAAGTGATATCTATTCAACAAACATATCACAAGAGAAGACAGAAGCCTCTTACTTGTAAATCTGCCATTCATAAGGTGGGCCATAATTACATCCTTTGCTACTTCTATGCTCAAATTTCAATGCAACCTAGATGAAACAAATATGTTAATACAAATCCGACAGAACACTTGTTTCTTGTTTTTTCTTTCCAGAAAACAGATTATGCAATGATGTTAAGCCATAAGAAAAGATGATTGCACACCTCAACAGCTCCAGGACCAGCCCCCATCCGTCGACCAACATATACTTGACCAAAGCCTCCTTTCCCCAATTTCTTCTCTATTTTGTACACTGGGGAACCACCAACCTGGACCTGTTGTCAAATAATCAAGAACGAGCAAAATTTTCAAAGAATACGACGAAATGCTAATCAAATAGTTCACAGCTGACGGCGTGACACACACGTTATTAAGAAGAAAACTGCACTTTCCTGCCACGCCCCCCACTCACAAACAGTTCACTGCCCATTTAAGTAAATGAAAAACACACCACATTCTCCCAATCCCAACTGGAAGTAAGAACACGGGAAAACGCCGAATGCAAGACTTTCAAGACCTTCCTCAAAGTTAGTAGATTATGAATAAACAATAACATTACTATAAAACAAAAATTTTAAAATTTTCTTCAACCTCATATTCTATAATTTAAAAATGGAACTAAAGACTGGGACTTTGAATGGAACAAACAAAATACACAAAAAGTTTCTCCCTTTTTCACCTTCCTCATCCCACACATCATCCAAACAAAAGCCCAATATCGAAAAATAAATTAATTTTTCTAAAAAAATAAAGTGAAATGAAATGCACGCGGTGAAAAAATAAAAAAGAGTGACCTTCTCGGGAATGGGAGCTGCGCCCTCGTCGTCAGCTGCAAGGCCCTTATCGCCACTGTGGCCGCCACTATCGTACTCGTCCATTGCTCTCTCACTTGCCTCCTCCTCTATGTCTTCCTTAAACGACCTCGTTTCAATCACCGGACCGCCCTCGGCCCACCTCCGCTTGCGGGCACCAGCTGCCTTCTTTTGTTTTTTATTATTATTCTTTTTCTGCTTCTGATTATTATTACTATTCTTCTTGTTCCGCCGAGTCCGTACAGTCGCCCTCCGAGGCTGGGTCTTGGTGATCGGGTCTGGGTTTCTGCGTGGACGCAGCTCAGGCATGGTAAGGTCGGTGGCGGTGGTCCATGAAGAGCGAGAAGCGCGCCTTATCGGGAAGATTCATGAAGCTTGTAAAACCATCGGCGGATGAAATCGATCAGTGTGGATGCTGAGAGAGAGAGAGAGAGAGAGAGAGAGAGAGAGAGCGAAACAGATAGTGTAGAGAGAGAAAATTAGGGTTTGGAGAAGGGAATTTTGGGATCTGTGGAGGGAAATCAAATGGAAAAGGAGGAAGGAGAAGAAGGGGATTCTCGATTTTTCAGAAAGCAGAGAAAGAGACGGAGAAAATATGAACAGACGGAGAGGTAAATTTGTAAATTTGTTTATATTTTTTTTTTGTATTTTTTTGTTAATAATATTAATATATTATGATTAAAAAATGGTGTTCAACTAACTTTTTTTTCTTTTCTTTCTTTGGATAAGAAATGGAACCGAGGATCTTCTCCAGATTCTCTTTATGAGGATTTTAGGGATTCTTCAATCACATCTATTTATTATACATCGTGAGATCATAAATTATTGTAAATTTTTTTATTTAAATTTGAATATAAACAGTACTTGACGAAAACTGACCACATAATATACGATAACGGAAGTAATTGGAGGATTTCTGAAATCTTTACATCGAGGATCTGGAGAGTATGCTTGTATTCATTTGGGTTTATGTTTTATATTCTTTTTTGGATAATGTTAATATATCATGGAAAATTACAATTTAAAATTGCATAACAAATTGCAAAGAGATCACGTGCTCCACTTTGCAGAAGGTGTAACGGACTCTTTCATTTTTGGAAAATTGAATGTGACCAAAAGTTTGAGCTTACAATATAATATCAATCATATGATCTTAATTTTCTTAAGAAAACTAAGGTTCGACAAACAAACTGAAACCCTGAAAACCAACCAAACAAAACCTGGTTTGATTTATTTTTTTTCATTTCGGTTTATAAAAACCGAATCAAACAAGAAAAAGCAATTTAGGTGCGATTTATATCAATCGGACCAAATCGCTTATAATGAAATGTATAAAATACAAGTAATATTTAGAAGAAATGTGATTAGATATTTTAAAGTTATGAAATTGTAAAGGTATTTTATATTAGCACTCCACAAAATGTTGAATGCATCATATATTAAAATTTAATATTAAATGACTTATTTATCCTATGATGTAATGACAATTTTGACCTTATCAAGTTAAAAAATAAATAAAAATTCTAAATACACTCCAAATCACTTTTTACGTATTATTTATCTTCTTTAGCTATCAAAATCTCTTCGACCCTCCATTGTTGAACAAAACCCTAACCAATGAAACTACAAACACGTTGATTGAGAAAAATTATTTTTGACGAATGAAACACGAAATCGATGTTTCGGAAACTTCACATGAGGTAAGACTTCAATTTTTTTTATTGTTTTAGTGATTCTGACAATATTGATAATTATTTAATCTTACTTTTGCTACGTTATTCAAGTTTCTATGTTCGTATTCATCTTTTAGGGATCACAAGGATTACATGAAGAATTAAACATCTAAAATGACCACCAAATATTAAAAACAAACGACATTGGTTTTAATGGTGGAATTGAAACAATCAACATATGCTTTAAATCCCAAGTGGCATATTTTGTCAAAATTTCAGTCGGTATTTTAATTTTTTATTGAAAAAACAAATGTGGGGTGTATTAAGTATGTGAAGTTTATTCAACAATTTGTGAGATGTTAGTATAATAAGCCAATTGTAAATTTAAGTTTTGAGATTGACAGCATGACGGAAATTATTTTATATATATAATTATAAATTTTTTTGAAATTTTAAATTGGTAATAGGTGTAGCTACAGAACCGAAACAAATCACAATATAGGTGTACCAATTGCGTCGGTTTTAAGCCATTTTGGTTTGAAATTTAGACAATTATATGGTGTGGTTTGATACACAATTCAAACTGAAAACCAAACCAACCCAAACCCCGCTAAAGCAGAGGGTAAACTGCATCTCTAAATTATTATCTGGGTTTAATCTTCTCCACAACAAAAATAAGCCATCTACGCACGCAACCCACCCTCTCCGCCCGAACTCTCTCATCCTGACAACCGCCCTCAGCCGAAACCCATCTAATGGCAAAACTCCATGCCTTTTTGAAGGGTGGAATCAAACTCCCAAGTTTTTTTGGCTAAAACCCTAAACCCTAAAACCCAGACATGCAACTATTTTGGATATTGGTACTGGTTGCCAATTAAGTTTGTTCACTTGATGTGGCTCTCTATATTTGTTTGTCAATTTTTGTTGCTCCATGTTTGTTCCTTGGCTTCAGATTACTTGGCGTTTGTTGTAATACATATATGCCTTCTGTAGAAGAATTAGAATGCTTATTTCTTTCTTAATTTTGAACTCGAGTAGCATGCACATTAACGAAATTGTGGATTCTATACGCACGCCATATGAGCAAACTGACGGAAATTCTAGTGCAGTCAGTCCTTAGTGTTAATGCAAACGGACGGCTCTTTAGTGCACTATTGAATCCAAAAACATAATTTCGAGAGCAAATTGAAACTTGGATTCAAATTTAAGGGCTAACACTCCAATTTACTCAAAGAAGTTTCCTTAAAACGAAAAATTGTAAACGAAACTTGATGGACAAATTTTACTAGACATCAGCAGGGCATCAGATTTTTCTGCATCAAGGTCTCTAATTTCCCCAACTACAGTACATGTATCAAGACCTAATGAAGTTGATCACAGGCAAGAAAAAAGCTTCCAATAGTAATGATGGAGCAGGAGATCATGGAGGCGATTAACAAAAATTCCACTGTAACTGTTATTATACGTGGAGAGACTGGCCGGATGTGAAAAAACGACCCAAGTTCCTCAGGTGGGTTAATTTTTTGGTGTTCATTCTTGTTCTAATTGTACATTAATTATTATTACTAATTATGTGATTGATTATTTTTCGTGCCTTATGAAGATGGGTTTGGTTTGAGCTACTCTTGTGCCCAGAGTGGTATGATCGGTGTTTACTCAACCTCGCCATGTTGCAGTCTATGCGACTTCTAGGCGAGTTTGAACTTGGACAACATTTAGGTAAAGAGGTTGGCTTTCAAGTTCGGCATGACACCAGGATGAGTAAATGTTGCTCCATCAAATTCATGACCGACGGAATATTAGTATGAGAACTCAAGGTTTTTTAGGCAAATGATATGGTTTAATCCATGTCATGATTTGAACATTTTAGCATCAAATAACTAATTTCTACGCTATTCAGGTTTATATTTATGCTGGATTATTTGTGTTGATTATGTATTTTACACCAAAAAAGGTATCATTATTGTCTTCTTTGTGTTATGTTTCTTCTTACTGTGCAGAGTGCTTTTCTGTTGAAGAAATACTCCGTTATAAATCTTGATGAAGTTCATGTTCGGAGCTATACCACAGACATTCTTATGCGAATGCTTTCACGTGTTAGCATAGCGTGTCGCCGCGTCAGGTGACATCAAGTGTGGTTATTATTACTAAATGTTACATTAATCAAGGTTGATAACCCCGTTTTTTGTACTCACTTCCATGTGATTACAGAAGGAATATAAAAACCAGCAAAAGTTGATGAGCTCGGGAAAAACTGTTAAGTCCCGGAGATCAGATTTTTCCATTAAAGCTTGTGTTGATGAGTGCTACGTTGCGAGTGGAAGACTTCGTCAGAACTGTTTTGCGACCCTCCTATCTTAGAATTTGAAACCAGACAATTTAAGGTAACCGTTCACTTAGAAATGAGAACCGATACAGAAAAGCCTTGTGTTAAACAAGCATATCAAAGGTCTTGAAAATTCAAAAGAGGCTGCCACCGGGGGGAATACTTTTCGTTGTCACTGGGCAGAGAGTAGAGTCCTTGTGTCGAAAGCTACGCAGAGCTTCAAAACTGATTATGAAAAGATCACTTTCTGTTGAGGGAACAAATATTGAAACGGATATTTGTGAAGCGTTTGAAGAAGATCAGTGCGAGACAGACGAGACGAGGATGATGAGTTGGGGTTTTATTCGTATGATTCAGATACGAAGAGTGAGCTAGAAAATTATGGTGAGGAAGACGATGATGGGGATGCATTGTGCCAAGATACTGATGATCTAGAGGCTTATTCTAACCAATCCAATCGTAGCGTGGGGAAAACTGGGCCACTGCATGTTCTCCCTCTTTACGCTAGGCTGCCTCCAGAAGAGCAATCTCGTGTAGTTGTGGCCACTAATGTGGCTGAAACCTCCTTATAGATGGGATAAAGTACGTTGTCGATACAGGAAAAGATAAAGTGAAGGACTACAATTCGTCAAATGGCACATGGAAACATATTAAATACAGTGTATCAGTAAGGCATCAGCTGACCAACATAAAGGAAGGGCTGGAAGAACTGGGCCTGGCCACTGTTACCTCCTTGTATTCACCCGCGGTGTATTGTAAACAAATACCTTGACTTTTCCTTACAACAAATATCCAAAGTCCCTGTTGATGGTGTTGTCCTTCTTCTCAAGTCTATGGATATTCATAAGGTAGGTCCAAAAACATGTCTAATTATATGGACAAACTTTTAGATATGGATTGCTTTTATAATGATGTAGCCCTTACAAATATGGAGAGAAATCAGTCCACTGCTCGACTTCAGCAGGATTCCTATACCTTTCGTTCTGAAGGTAACGATTCATTTCTGTTAGAAAAATTAACTCCAGCACTATATATTTTGTTCATGTAAGAAGACCCAAGGAACCAACAGCATGCTATTAGGGTTACAATAAGAACAATATGCAGGTTATGTCATTATATACACGTTGCATGGCATTATCGTTGTGCATGCTTTTAGCCGTGAAAACTTACCTGTCGCCATTATGCTTCTGGTGCAGGGATGAAGTAATCTTCTACTTCCAATACCTCCTTTATGAATTCTACTAACAAAATAGGTCTGTAGTATTGTGATTCGAACAGTATGGAAGCAGGGACTGCTTCTTGGTTTTATATCTAGGGTTTTTATCGAATCCCCCCTATTAACGGAAAGGATATCCACCTGATATCCTCTAAACAATCAGAGTCCCATCATGACTCTTATATATATATTCTCTTAGTAAAAGGTCCCGAAACTGATTGCAAACAATTAGAACTCCAAATATATTCATTCTTTTAAGGTTTCCGAGAATAAAGATTTCATTTGACTTGATTACCAAGTCAACTACTTTCTCAAAGATTTTCAGCACAACTCATTGTCCATTCACAAATGTTTTACATTCTCCCACTTGAATGGCAATGCGAACCCCTTAACGAAATAAATATACATGGTGATCACTAGAGTCCTTTCAGGCTTGCAACCATGTCCTTTTAAAACAACCTGTCACTCTTGAATCAAATGCAGAACCAAGGAAATAAAAATACAAGTGAAACTGTATTTTTCCTCCATGATCACATACACACTTAACTTAAGAGCACTGTGTTACTAAAGAGATCATGATGTCTAGAACTGGCAGTCAAAATTCCAGTTCCTCACAACACAAACTGATTCATTTATCAGTACAAAATTATCTGTCAAAGAAACTTCAAATATTAATTCTCAATACAATATCCAAATCACAATCCAAAATAAATCTGAAAGAAACGGTTATCAATTAATCGAGTGCTTACTCCCACTCATTAACTGAATCAAAAGTCTCTCTAACGCCCATGTTGTAGACATGCCGCTTAAAGACTCCCACTGATAAAGCCTTTGTCATAGGATCAGCTATCATCAACTCAGTGTTGATATGTTGAATGTCCACCGTCCCCTTTCTCACTTCATCTCTAACCTTTAGATACTTTATATCCATCAGCCTGCAAGCCAACGACCTTTTGTTGTTCTTTGAGAAGAACACTGAAGCCTTGTTGTCACAATATATTCTTAATGGTTTCTCAATGTTGTCAACAATCCTCAGTTCTTTCACCATATTTCTTAACCAAATAGCTTGTTTGGTCGCTGCATAACATCCAATAAACTCAGCTTCCATAATGGAGGATGCAATAGAGCCTTGTTTTGTGCTTTTCCATGAGACAGCTCCACCCGCAAGTAAGAAAATATAACCGTTAGTTGATTTTCTGTCATCCACGCATCCAGCTAAGTCCGAATCTGTGTATGCCACCAGCTGCAGGTTATCAACATAGCTATAAGTCAGCATATAATCCCTTGTCCTCTTCAAATACCTGAGAACTTTCTTGGCTGCAATCCAATGAGATGTGCCAGGATTTGATTGAAATCTTCCTAGTACACTCACTGCAAATGCTAAGTCAGGCCTAGTGCATACTTGAGCATACATTAAACTGCCAACTAAAGACGCATAGGGCTTGTCCTTCATGCTTTCCTTTTCCAACTCATTTTTGGGACTTTGTTCAGTACTCATTTTATCCCCTTTCCCAATAGGTAATTCGCCACTAGAGCACTTCTCCATGTTATATCTTTTGATGACTCTATCGATGTATTGTTTCTGAGAAAGACCAAGAACCCTTTTGCTACGATCTCGTATTATCTCAATACCAAGCACAAACTGAGCTTCTCCCAAATCTTTCATATCAAAACTTTCTGTTAACAGTTTCTTGGTTGCATGTAACAATGATATATCCGAACTTGCCAATAGTATATCATCGACATATAAGACCAAGAATATGAACTTAGAATCACTGACCTTTAAATACACACATTCATCCATCTTGTTCTCTTGAAAACCTGCTGCCATTATGACTTGATCAAACTTCTTGTTCCACTGTCTTGAAGCCTGTTTTAGCCCATAAATGGACTTGTTCAATTTGCAGACCAATGATTCCTTCCCCCTTTCAACAAATCCTGGTGGTTGTGCCATGTATATGTCTTCCTCCAAGTCTCCATTGAGGAAAGCAGTCTTGACATCCATCTGATGAAGTTCAAGATCAAAGTGTGCAGTGAGAGCTAAAAGAACTCGCATCGAATCCTTGGTAGATACAGGAGAGAAGGCTTCATTGTAATCAAATCCTTCTCTCTGCGTAAACCCTTTAGCCACTAGTCTTGCTTTATGTTTGTCAACTTGTCCATGAGAATCCCTTTTTGTTTTGTAAACCCATTTGCAGCCTATTACTTTAGTTACTTGCTGATCATTGGGAACTAAGGTCCATACATCATTCTTGTGCATGGAATGCAGCTCTTCTTCCATAGCTGCATACCATAGTTTGGACCGAGCACTTGAAACCGCTTGATTGAAAGAAATAGGATCATCCTCATCGCCTACATTATGCTCAGCCTCATTGAGGTATACAAAGTCTGAGGAAATTTTTGCCTTTCGTGTTCTTTGAGAGCGCCTTATATGTTGTGCATCTTGTTGAACCTCATTTGGTACCAGGACGAATACATCTGCTGCCTCATTGATGACAACAGAAGGCGAGACCACAGCATTTTCAGTTGGGAGCATCACGTTTTCATCATTGTGATCTGGAAGCACTGTCTCAGCCTCTTGAAAATTGTGTGTGTCACTTTTGAGCAGCAGTGGTTGTGGTATCTCAGTGACGTCGACAGTGTTGTTTTGCGGATCAAATAATGAAGGACTTATGGTTTCTTCAAACTCAGATGCTAGTCGAGCTGATGTACAAATGGAACCCTCTTCAACAAATTTTGCATTATTAGTTTCCATAATGCGTGTGCTAGAATTGGGACAGTAGAATCTGAATCCTTTGGATTTATCTGGATAACCAATAAACCAACAGCTAGTCGTTCTTGGATCCAACTTCTTTTCATTAGGGTTATAGAACCTGGCCTCAGCTTTACACCCCCACACATGGAAATGATTAAAGCTAGGTTTCCTCCCTGTCCAACACTCAAAAGGTACTAACTTCACTGACTTGCTTGGAACACGGTTCAGGATATAATTAGCAGTTTTCAAAGCTTCTCCCCAAAGAAAAATCGACAATTGTGAGTGTGCAAGCATTGATCGAACCATATCCTTGAGAGTCCTGTTCTTTCTTTCTGCTACTCCATTTTGATGTAGAGTGCCAGGGGTTGTATACTGGGCAACAATGCCATTTTGTTCAAGGTAAGTCGCAAAAGGTCCCTTGTGCTGTCCAGTTTCAGTATACCTGCCAAAATACTCACCACCTCTATCGGATCTCACAATCTTAATTCGTTTTTCAAGTTGTTTTTCAACCTCCAAATGAAAAATTTTAAAACAGTCAAATGCCAAAGACTTATCAGAAATAAAAAACACATATGAAAACCTTGAAAAATCATCAATAAAAGTTATGTAATAACTGTTCCCACAGATTGTTTATTCGGAAATGGTCCACAAATATCAGTGTGAATTATTTCTAGCAAGTGTTGACTTCTATTCGAACCCAACTTTCTGGTATTCGTGAGCTTTCCCTTAAAACAGTCAACACACTCCTTAAAATCACTGAAATCTAGCTGTGGCAACAAAAGCTGTTGTGAAAGTGCTAACATTCTTTCTTTTGAAATATGTCCCAGCCTTTTATGCCAAAGTATTGATGATTTTTCAGAAGTTATGTTGCTTTTAGAATTGTTCAATGACACATTAAAACACTCATTGTAATAGCTACAATCCATTTGCCACATATCAGTTTTGAGAAAAGCACTTCCAAGCAAGGTGTTCTTATTATTCGAATGGAAAAATTTTACACTTTCATTGTCTCCAACAAAAATGATTCCTGACTCAACTAACTATGCTGAAATTAAACTCATTCGCATTGAAGGTACATATAAAACTGGACTAAAAAACAAAACAAAACCCAATGCTAAAACTAATTTAACACTGCCCACAGACTCCACAGCCACCTTGCTCCCATTTCCCACAAAAACGTTGTAGACCTCATTGTTTATTTCCCTTGTTTTTGAAAACCCCTGCAAAGAATTGGTTATGTGGATGGAACATCCAGTGTCAAACCACCAGCTTTGAGGAGGAATGATAATTAAATTCGATTCAACACAGACAAAAACATTAATGATTTTACCTTTCCTAACCAGCCAGTTTTTGAAACCAATGCAATTCTTCCTCATGTGGCCTGTTTCTTTGCAGAAATAACACTCCTTATCTTTATCATTTTCAGTGTTTACAGGTTTAAGTTTGTGAGATCCTTTAAAAGTGTTAGTATTCTTAATTGAAGGGTAAAAGTTGACCTTCTTTTTCTTCTGGTTGGCAGTATTCATAGGACCAGTACTTGGAACTCTATTGCCTTTTTCAGTTTGAACAAAATGCACTTCTACATTCTTATCAGTTTTCAGCCTGTCTTCTTCTTGAGCACACATTGAAATTAATTCATCAATACCCCACTTGTCTTTCGAAGTGTTGTAAGACACCTTGAGTTGACCATATTTCGCAGGGAGCGAATTCAGTGCCATATGCACCAGAAACTGATCAGTCACAACCACTTCAAGATCTTTGAGCTTTAGAGCAAGGTCTGCCATTTTGAGAATGTGCTCACGCACACTCCCAACTCCATCGAACTTCATGGAAGTGAGTTGAGTGAGAAAAGTCCCAGTCTCAGCCTTCCTCGATTCTATGTATTTTTCCCTAATGCCCAATGACAGCAAGAAAAGCCTTGGCATTGGTGTGCTTTGGAATTCCTCCTTTCACCGACTGAGCCATGGCCTTTTTCATGATCATTATTGACATTCTATTGGCTCTCTCCCATTTTTCAGACTTAATCCTTTGATATGTAGTGCTTTCAGTAGTGATTGTTGCAGGCTGATCTTCTCTCAAGGCCAGATCCAGATCCATCAGTCCCAACACTATCTCAATATCCTCTTTCCATTTTTTAAAATTCGAACCAGTCAATGTTTCAATGTTAGTAAAATTGAGTGACGTGGTTTGAGTAGCTGCATTCAACAAACAATTTATTAATATTTTATACAAAATTTTTTATAACAGATATAAAGAAGAAGCTTATGACAAGTTTCTTCATCCTCTCAATAGCATATAAACACAACAACATCTTTGGACTGAAGTTGCTTATATTAGTTTTGCATAATCCAAACATAGAACACAAGGGTAATATATATATATATATATATATATATATATATATATATATATATATATATATATATATATATATATATATATATATATATATATATATATCCAACACTTTTGAGCAGATGGATTACATAATCTTGTCAGTTCCATGTTCCATTATACACTAACTCATTCGAATTTCAACAGTAGTAATTAAACACCTTTAGGCAGATTAATAATTTTCACATATATCAAATGAGTCAGATCCAATCACTTGGACAATAAGCAACCAAAGCACGCTAAACACTTTTGAGCAGATTAGCGTTTATGAGTCTTGAAAATATATTCATCAGTATAACTTTGATGAATAAATGTTCTTGTAGTCATATTATGACCCACGTACATTGTCTCTCTGTTTCCCACCTAAACCTGTCGCGGATTACACAGCAACAATATATGTATATACATATGTATATATATATATATATATATATATATATATATTCAACTTTATCGTTTATACATGTCAGGAATTATCAGTGCAGCGGAAGTTAATTATCACATGAATTTTATCGTTTTATGGATCATATCTGTAAGTCCTAATATTGAACCCTAACCATACTGTGGGGCTCTGATACCACATGTAAGAAGACCCAAGGAACCAACAGCATGCTATTAGGGTTACAATAAGAACAATATGCAGGTTATGTCATTATATACACGTTGCATGGCATTATCGTTGTGCATGCTTTTAGCCGTGAAAACTTACCTGTCGCCATTATGCTTCTGGTGCAGGGATGAAGCAATCTTCTACTTCCAATACCTCCTTTATGAATTCTACTAACAAAATAGGTCTGTAGTATTGTGATTCGAACGGTATGGAAGCAGGGACTGCTTCTTGGTTTTATATCTAGGGTTTCTATCGAATCCCCCCTATTAATGGAAAGGATATCCACCCTGATATCCTCTAAACAATCAGAGTCCCATCATGACTCTTATATATATATTCTCTTAGTAAAAGGTCCCGAAACTGATTGCAAACAATTAGAACTCCAAATATATTCATTCTTTTAAGGTTTCCGAGAATAAAGATTTCATTTGACTTGATTACCAAGTCAACTACTTTCTCAAAGATTTTCAGCACAACTCATTGTCCATTCACAAATGTTTTACAGTTCAAACCCTCGGATGAGATTTAAGCAGATTTTGAGTATCTGATTCGTCCGTGCAGGCTCGACCATTAGACTCACTACAATATCCCTAGAGAGACGAATGAGATCTCCAGTTGGCTTTCTGCAAGCGGCTTGACGTGCATCGCTCGTAAATCTGATAGTTTCTGCCTGCAGGTGCTCATACTAAAGAGTGAGAGAAGAATGCAGCAATAGAGTAATTGCAAGTTTGCAACTCAGGTAAATCCCTGCTTGGAATTATATGAAGAGAAAAGGTAAAAATTAGGAAACTTGTTGGTCAAGTCATTTGGCTTCAAAGGCAACCATTTCACCTGCTCACTGCTAAGCAAGTCTCCATTGCAAATGCTACCTTTCTAGTTTGTTTTCACATCCAAGGTGCTTAAAACTTTCTTTTAATAGCTAGTCGTGGTTTCGTTGTTTAATCATTGGGTTATATTTCTGAAAGAACTTTTCTTTTACGATCGTATTAGACTTCTATGAGGTTTATGTGAGATAATGGGTCGTGGGCGCCCATCGTTTACGGATCGTGCCTCGCAAAAAAGGGACTTTGCCTAAATTGAAATCCATAGCTTAAATTTGCTTTGTTTAATGTTTAACATTATTTTAAAGGATTATCAAGATTTACCAAATTATTGAACTTACCTTTGGTCTTCTTCAATCTTCTTACTCATGACGCTACATGGAAATTAGATATTTTTTTTGGGGTATCCGAAACACCCTTAACTAGTGTTATTATTTTATTATAATCATAACTTTGTGTGTGTGTGTGTATTATTAATGTATTGTAGAATTGGAAATACAAATCATGTAATCCACCTATACCAAAGCACCTCACATCGTTGTGTTTTAAACACACGGAGAAAGTTCTCATGAAGGGCATGAATTATATTACAAGATAATATTATATGAGAATTTTCTTTAGGAAGAAATTTGAACTCGAACCAAAGCTAGACTGCTTATCAGATTCTTGAATGGTGCTTAATTTAATAGTTGTATCCATACATGATACTCTTGATTAAGCAATCTACAATCAGACAGATCTCTTTTAATTAGTCCTTGGGTATAATCAGTGCCTTGTAAAAGCCAAATTTGATCTTAGAGAAGGAAGCAAAAAGGGTAATCGACAAAGAGAACCCTAATATGCATGAGAAGGGTGCTTTATTTTACCACGTTGCTTCTATAAAGATTGCAGAATTTTCCTTCTGAAAGCCCGAAACTCACAGAAACAACAAAAGGTGAAAAAAGAAACTTACATTTTTTACAGAAAGGTAAAAAGTGAAACTTACATTCTTTAAACTCTTGAAGATTTTTCTGCATTTCATAATGAGTAATGCTATTCATACCATGTTTTTTTACCACATTTTCATACTACCTTAGGTGACATTTGATATGAACAGTCATATCATTTGAATTAATCAGATTTTTACATTTAGTACATTATTAATAAACTAATAATTAAGAAAAAATAATTAATTAAATGATGATTGTAGTATACGAGGAGTCTTTCTCCTTCGTTTCCTTAGGTTTTGCAAATTTTTCAAATGATGTGACTGTCCACATCAGAAGCCACCTAAAGTGATATAAAAATATGGTATAAAAACATGGTATGAATAACATTACTCTTTCATAATACATGCAAGGGTTCTAACCGTTCTCTAAGTCTTAACTGTACATGCAATAAGGAAAGCATGAGTTCTAATTGCTTCACTAAATACACTCTCAAACTACATAAAGATGAGATTCGATCTTCAGTATGCTTAATTAATACGTTAGATCTAATAAAGCAGTTAAGATCAGCGAGATGAACTGCACATATTAGACGCTAACGTACTATGCCGAACAATATGAAAATCCTCCCAAAGAGTCAAAGACGTTGATCATCAGGTACCTGTTACATGGAAATCTCTCTCCACATCTTAACTCGAGGGCCTACTTCAGCTGTATCGACCTGCAGCCATCCACTTTTGCAACATTAACTCTCTATAAAACTTGTCAATAAATTCCTGGGCTGCCTTGTCCACGTGGTAATCCTCCTCCTCATCACTACTCAACGGAAACAAAGACTCCCACTCCCTTATCCTCACCCGCGCCCGCCTCACCATTGGCAGCGGCTCGACCACGTCACTGCAACGATAATTCACTTTCCTCACCCCATGAACCGTCGCCAATGCATCCTCGCACATCATCGGCACGTAAGCTCCCCTCCGCGAATGCTGCCTAACATAACGGCCCTTGTACGCCTTGCCGGATTGACACGGAGGAGTGTAGGATGACCTGCGTGGCGGGCTGCTGGTGCAGCTGAACTCGTACTCCAACGGGTACACGAACGACGCCACGTGCACGTCGTGCGACTTGCAGCTAAGCGCAGTTTGGTGACGGACCATGAAATCATTGAAAGACTTGCCTAAGATCTTCCCATGTTTCATCATCGTCAACTTTTTCTTGGACACACCCTTTTGTAAGGTGAACAAAACTAGACGTACCATGTTGCCTAATTTCTTGGCTATGAACGGTGTATTTGTAGGTTCCATATTTTAGGGTTTGGGGAATGGGGAATTATTCAAAGGCTAAAACACTGGGAGGCAGAGATAGATCATAGAGGTTATGAGTTCAATGAGAGAATGATGAAGATAGGAATATATTTAAAGAGCCAAACAGGGTAGTAGGATGGGGCCATAATATTTATTTATTTTTTATATTTGTATTGGGTTTTTTCTTCTTTTCTCATTTTTGGGGACTAAAGTCTAAAGAGTGTATTTTTCATATTTTTCTATTAATGTTGATAAGTGTAGCATAATATGCGTAATCATTGCTTTTTGTTTTGTGCTGTTCTTTTTCTTTTTCTAATTGGGTGTTTTTTCTTTGTTAATTTGCATACGTTGTCCCTACAAAACTAGTGCGTTTGAACTTTTAATGTCTCAAATCAATTAACTGCCATCCATTTTAATTGCCACCGTTGATTTCAATCTTGAGTTGTGCCTTTCTGGCCGTTCAAATAATTGCAAATGAAAGTTTTGCTTTAAGCTACGGTTACATATTTTATACAACAATAAAGCAATTTAGACATATAAAACCGAAACACATATACATACATTCTTTGAATAGACCGAGTTTTTTCATGGGATGTAGAATTACCTGTATGGATAGTGCTATAGGCACCAAATTCGAGCACTGAATAACGTGGCACATACATCATTAATTAAATTCAACTTGAATTAAAATATAAATTTGAATGGTACCGCATCATTTGATGCACAAATTTTACGTACCTAGCATTATTTTTACCTATATTAAAGAATGCATCCATAAGTTTGTTAGTTTTATGTGTCTCAAAAACATCATTCAAAAACCAATATTATGGTACAGGGAAGTGAAATAAGTCAATAAGGAAAAACAAAGCTAAGTTCATATTAATAATGGACTAATTATAGTGGGGGATAAAGGAGTAGAAAGTGAAAAATGAATGGCAATCGGTTGTTTGGAAAACTTTAGTCAGGTGTAAGCCTTCCCTTTAGCCCTACATTATCCTATACTTTCAAATTTATATACCAAACTGCTAAGGAAATCAAATTCTTTGAATTAGTTTATTCACGTATTGGATTTTATCATGATGAAAGCTAACATGTAGGATCCTATGTCTTTTACTTGTTTAATCCCTGGTGCACCTAAAGTCGAAGAAGTTGGCATTTTATTCATCTCTTGGCGGGTTGGGAAGGAATTGCAAAGTGGCAAACCACATTTTGTGGATTTTGGCGTGGTTGTACATTTGACATGGGACCATAGTGTACTTTCGAGAAATAACCATTTGTAAAATGCAATTGTGTTATCACAACAAATTAGTCATAATCAAGTATCGTGCTCGCTACTCACAACAAGATTTATTCTCATAACATAGCTACGTCACCATAATATTCAATCACAACTAAGAATTGTACTCATCATTCATATATATATATATATATATATATATATATATATACTGTTGAAAACATTGGCATTGTTATGAAGGCCCACACACACATTGTCAATGCCCTTGCAAATTGAAATAGACTTTGAAAACAAAAGGATTGTTTTTCAAAACATGCGATGTAAATTTCAAACTGTAAGAACCTGTTTGTATGGAGCCGCTCTATAAATAGAGCACTCTGACCGCAGTTAAAGGAGATAGAGAGAATACAAAGAGGAAAGAAAAGATTAATAACTTCAGTATCTATTCCTCCATCTTTTATTTGTCATCCTCTTGTGCTATAGTTTTAGTGTGATATTTTACATCTGCTTCACTCTTGTCACTAGTAAAGGTTATCTCTCTAACTTTTACATATTTATAACACATATATATATATATTATATCATCTTATTTCTGTGTGAGTCGGATCTAAGACCTTTGTTTGAAAATAGAGATACAACTACCAACAGACTACCGCCACACTGTTGCATGGTGCTATCAATTTACTTGTTATTATACTATGAGAGAATCCATATATTGGATTAGAATATAGTAGATATATTTGTTCTATGGGAGTATTTTTGCTCACTACCATTTAGTGTGGTGTATGCTCATCACTCTATTTATCACCGTTACATAAATTTGAATTTTGAGATTCGTGAAGTGGATATGAACAAATCTCAAAATTCAAACTCATTTAATGTTGATAAATATGATAGTGAGCATACATCATACTAAATGGTGATGAGCAAAAATGTACTCTTGTTCTATAACGCGTTACGATGTGTGGTTACACCAAAAAAAGTACTCATTACAAAGGACCATTAAATTTTCTTTTTGTTCTTTGAATGAAAATGACCATCTCATTAAATAACCCTAATTGTGTTAGGTTGGCAATGGCAGTTGTATTTGTATATATTTTATGTTAGGTGTGGAATTTTATTTCAAGTCATGACTTGTATAAATGTAGGTCATATATACCCAATTTATTGATTCTACTAGTAAAGCATCAACCCCCATCAGCAATTGGTATTGGGGTAGCTTTAACTTAGATGCCGACTGGTCGGGTAAGAAGGTACCTCAGATATTCTCCAGGCAGCAACAATATTTATATCTGAAGCAAAGAAGAACGTCATCCAAATAGTTCAAATATGGAAGTTCTGAGATTCTAACTAATGTATATGATTATTTGAAGAAGAATCACATTCTTTCTCTTCGTATAAGTTCTTGATCTGATAAATAAAACGAACGAATCCTTTTACACAAAAGATTCGACCTTCTTTTTGATTGAAAGATTCGACCTAATTCTCTGTCAAATTTTTAAAGGACGAGAAAAAGAAAAAAGCTTGCTATTTAAATAGTGGGACAAACAACTTTCATATTAGAAATAGATTCTGGAGTTAATTTTTGGATAATCTTGAGTACTCTTTTTATTGCTAGAGTGTTCGGCGTTTGTCTTAAAAATGTATGGAACTTTAACAAACAACAAGCTAACGCTTGCGCCGTTTACAGACCAGATGTGGGGTGAATAAAGTCTGAAAAAATAGTATGTATACAATATAGCTATATACGTATCATGAAACAATTTTTAATTATTCCTCATTATACTCATAATTCAGATGATACAGAAATTGCACCAACATAGTTTTGACTAAGATGGTAAGGATAATAAAAACAATAAGCCGTAGGTAAAGCACACTCTTGTTACTTTTTCTCATCAATTTAGTGTGCCTCCAATTCTATTATTATTTCCTATAAAAAAATATTATTATGATTTCTGACAAACGAAAAAATAGTCTATCATATATGATTACTTTGTTCTAACTTCTAAGTGGTTCTAAGTTCAATTTTGAAGTTGAATTCAAAACATTGTTTGATTCAATATACTCAAATGTGGCCTTCATCTCACTTTGTGTGCGTGATTAAGACAAGAAGCAATTAAAACACTGATGATGTTGGCTTGTCTTTGATATCTCTTATAAGCACCATTAAGTTCGCATTGATTTTGATTCAAAACTTTACTTTCCTACAAAATGGAACTTTTGTATTCTCAAGGTAATGGATTCGGTGAATAATGGATATACAAACATATATATATATATATGTATGTATGTATGTATATGTATATGTATATTATACTATTATGGGTTAATCTCAGTTTATTATCTTAAAATTTTTTGGTTTTCAACATTTGGTACATGAAGTTTTTTTCATCCCAGAGTGGTACATAAAGTTATAATTTTGGGACACTTTCATACATTCGTTAAGGTTGCTGTTAAATTTGTCGTTAACTGATGACGTGGCATCTATATAAACAATGACTGGTGCCATGTGGATATTAAAAAATAAAAAAAATAAAAAAAAAAAAACTAAAAAAAAAAAAAAAAAAAGCCTTTTAGGCGTCTTCTCCTTCACCTCTTTCGACCCCCCTCCCTTATCTCCTCTACACCAACCCTTCCCCCTCCCTCTTCAACTCCACCCACTCCATTTTTCTCTATCTATCTCTCTCTCTCTCTCTCTCTCTCTCTCTCTCTCTCTCCCACATCTGAAAACCCTTCACTCCCTCATTTGGTCTTCCTCTGTTTTCTCGCATCATCCAACAGTTGGACTCGGCGCCTCTCCCTCTTTCTCCCCCTTCTTCGCCCTCTCTACCAAACCCTAACCCCCAAATTCCAACCTCCCACCATTCAATCCAAACACAATCCCCCCCAATCAGACCCCAACTCGACCCAGTTCACCTCTAATTGCCTCCAATTCCACTCCATCTCGACCCATTTCTTTACAATTCTAGCCATGCCCAAGACTCCGTAAGCTTTGCAGGATTAATAATATAATGATCGAATCGTTGAAGCACTATACAAATTCATTTTATGGGTTTGAGCAATGTCGAAGCTTCGTAGAGGAGTACGTTGAGGCTGCGCTAGGGTAGCAAGCAAGACCTTTGACCTACCGCTGAGGTCACAGAGGACTCGTGACATTGTTGCCCGAGAAGCCGCCCTGAGGCTGTGGTGAGGGGCTGAGGGAGAGAGAGAGAAATGGAGTGGGTGGAGTCGAAAATGAAGGGGGAATGGTAGGTGCAGTGGTGAGGCCCAGACGCCCAAAAGTTTTTTTTATTTTTTTTAAAATTTTTTAGTTTTTTAGTTTTTTATTTTTTAATTTTTTAATATCTACATGGCATCTAGTCATTGTCCAAGTGGATGTCACTTCATCAGATAATGAAAAATTTAACGGCAACCTTAACGGATTTATGAAAGTGTCCCAAAATTATAACTTTATGTACCACTCTGGGATGAAAAAAAACTTCATGTACCAAATGTTGAAAACCAAGAAACTTTAGGGTAGTAAACTGAGATTAATCCTACAATTATATTATATATAAATTATATTATTTACTATTCGGGTCGTATTCGGTTACATATACAGTTTGGGAACCCTTATAACCATATACAAAACCATAACCGAATAATATAAACGGTTTTTCCCCATATCCAAATCCGTTCCATTCGGACGGTTATCCACGATTATCAAGTTTAACGGTTAGAATTGTCATCCCCATATAGAACCAGAAAATTATATAAGCCATGTCCATTATCAGAGGCTTAGAGCATCTTATTATATATAGAATTGAGTGGCCACCTAAATATATGTCTAAAATAAAAAATAGATTTGCAACTAAGGCAC